AAACACAAACTTAACAATGTGGTGTATGCTGTACAGTGCAGCGAGGAATGCCCAGACCTCTACATCTAAAATAAAAATAATGCATGACCTTCTTATGGCAGCTGACAACGTTCTCCTCTCCATCCTTATTCTCCTCGATCTGAGTGCAGCCTTTGACATCATTTCTTACTCCATCCTAATCAGCAGACTAGCTTCTAAATCACACATGTCTGACTGCACTCAGTTCATTCGATTAAAATCCTCCTCCTCTCAGCCTTTTCCTGTGTCAACTGAGGTACCTCAGGGATTAAATTTAATTGCCTTCTCCCACTTGGACACATTTTCCATAAATATAATATTCAGTTCCACTGTTATGCCAATGACACCCAGCTTTACCTGTCCATCAAACCCAACTCTACTCTCCTTCCACCCTCTTTCCACCCTCTGCTTAGCTGAACTTAATTCATGGTTTTCCTCCAACTTTCTTAAACTCAACAGTAATAAATCAGAATGCTTCCTGGTTGGCTCCAAATTATCGCTATCCAGGACTAACACTTTTTCTGTTACTATCAATAACAGTTTCTGTCTCTCCCTCTGTGAAAACTTTGGGTGTCATTCTTGACAGCACACTATCCTTTAACTCTCACATCAATAATATCACTCACTGAGCATATTTCCAACTCTGTATCATCAATTGCCTCTGCCCCTTCCTCACTCCACATGCCACTGCTATCCTCATCCATAGCCTTGTTACCTCTCGGTGCGACTACTGTAACTAACTCTTATTTGGCCTTACACAAAAATCCATCCACAAGCTTCAACGTGTCCAGAACTCTGCTGCCCGTATTATTACTAGTACTCCCTCTACCCGCCACATCAACCCTATTCTTAAGCAGCTTCACTGGCTCCTGGTTAAACTTTGGATTAATTTTAAAATATGCCTTTATACATTTACATTCTCTCTCCCCACCATATCTCTCTCATTTGGTACAGATCACCATCCCATCCAGGTGCCTCTTCTCTTTCTCTTTCTGTTCCTCCCTCTCGTCTTATTACCATGGGGGACAGGGCTTTTAGTCGCTCTGCCCTCGACTTTGGAATTCCCTAACCCCTGACCTCAGAAATATCGCTTTATTCCCTCTTTTTAAATCCAATCTCAAAACCCACCTGTTCAAAATAGCCTACTCTAGATAACTTCTCCATGCTCTTAAACTTTCTTTTATTATTGTGCATATTTCCTGTTTTTATGCCTGTCTTATTTGCTCTGTACGGTCTCCTTGGGTGTTTTGAAAGGCACTTTTAAATAAAATGTATTGTTATTATTATTTTTTTTTAATAATAGTAATTAGGGCAGATGATTTAAATACATTCTCTATTTAAGTTATGCTACTATAAGCTAAGGCTGCTGATGGATTCCACATGATGCACTGAGATTTAGCTCTCCATTATCCTTTCTTTAATACAAACACAACTCTTTGTCCTGAAAATGTGTCTACTATCATCTGTAGGGTTTTTTTTTGGTTTTTTTGGGGTTTGGTTTTTTTGCTTTCTAGTTTCTGATTTTCGTGTGTTTTGTTTAAGATTTTTCATGTCTTCTTTCACTGCCTAACCAATCAATTTTTATGGGTGAACAAGGTATTCATATAGTATTCTGTTCCAGGTGCTGGAGGACAACATCATAACTTTTGTAAAAAATGAACTGAAGAAAATTCAGAAACTTCTAAACTCTGATTACCCAGAACAAAAGGGGGATGAGGAGGGGAGCAGCAGAGAGGCTTTTGTGAACATCACACTAGACTTCCTAAGAAAAATGAAGCACGATGAACTCGCTGACCTTCTAAAGAGCAGTAAGAGGATTTCTCTGAGATTTAAGAAGCTGGCTAACTTTGATTTTTTTTCTTTGAAAACATGTGCATTTCATTTTTCCATGAATGATTATTTTTTTATCCATTGGTTATTTTAGAAACTTTCATTAGGGACTCCCATTGGAGCCAAGATGAACTTAAATTTACTTTGAAGAAGAAGTTCCAGTGTGTGTTTGAGGGGATTGCTAAAGCAGGAAACCCAACCCTTCTGAATCAGATGTACACAGAGCTTTAGATCACAGAGGGAGGGACTGCAGAGGTCAATGATGAACATGAGGTCAGACAGATTGAAGCAGCATCCAGGAAACCAGACAGACCAGAAACAACAATCAGACAAGAAGACATCTTTAAAGCCTCACTTGGAAGAGATGAACCAATCAGAACAGTGCTGACAAAGGGAGTGGCTGGCATTGGGAAAACAGTCTTAACACAGAAATA